ATCTTGGTGTATCCTTGGTGGTGGCCATTTGTATACTAAGATCATTACAACTGGACTTAATTTAAGCCAGATTTTACTAATATGCTGAATCCAATTCTAGCCTTACGCGTTGTTATTATAATATGACAAAATAATCCATGTTTTTTTTTAAGGACTAGAAGAATGGCTTTAAACTTTAAATAAGATTTGAATTAAAAGTGTGATAAACTTTACAGAATTGTGATTTTATTTAACTATTGTAATATATTATTTTGGGTGAATTTGTGCAAGTTTCCCTGATACTTAAAAATATAAGAATAAATAATCAAGTAGAGAGTTTATAAATAGATGTAAAAGGAAGTAATGTTAGAATGTTTTCAGTAGCAATAATACAGCATTGAACTTTTATTTTACATCCTCCCCTCCTTTATCAAGTAGAGAGTGTTGCTGGAGAGAGTGACAAAGTCATGTTGAATGAATAATTTTTTATTATAGATCTCAAATATTTACTCAACATTCTCAGACATTCCTACTATACTTCTCTAGAAAATATACTTCTCTACTCACCAATATCATCATTTCACACTTTTTCTCTCCTTGTATCTCCTAAGGGATATTCTTTCTTCTTACAGTTGATCTCTCATAGGGAAAATAAATCAAATAAAACAAGAACTAATTTGACTTCCTATCACCCATTTTAAGAACTTAAGACATGATTATCTGCATACATTTTACTCTATTACAATGAAAAATTGTCAATCTTATCAGAGCCAGATACAACATCTATATCAAATACCACTCCATCTTCTCAGTACCTATATTCTTGTGATCATTCCCTTCTCTTCTACATCGTGATCTTTTCTCTGCATTTTTATTGTCATAAATTCACATATTCTAGCATCTTTTATTTCAAAATACCATCTCTATATCCTGTATCTCATTGTTATGTTTTTTACTTTATTTTACACTAAATTCCTTAAGTTTATATATTTGCTGACTCATCTCGTATTTTCTTTCCAACTCACTTCTATAAGATGTACTACTACCCAACCAAAATGTCTCTTATCAACATTAATAACACAGATCTTACTTCTTTTTCTTTAAAAGGTCTCTCTCTCTATCTCTCTCTCTCTCTGTAGAGAGCACTAAAACCAGGGCTTACACACTGAAGTACATCCCCAGCCATTTTGGGTTATTTTGAAACAGGATTTCTGTAAGTCACTACGTAGCCTCGAACTTGCAATCCTACTGCCACAGCCTTACAAGGTGCAGAATTACATGCATGTGTCACCATACCCAGTTTGTTTCCTCTTAATGTTCCACCTACGAGTAGCATTTGACTCAGATTACCTATTCTATCATAAAATACATCTTTTGGATTGCATGAAAGACACCACACAAAATTCATATATGTGATTTTTCTGTTGAGAACTAACCTTACTTCTATACCTAATTTACTAGCATTTTCTTGTTCATTGGCCTTCTGAATATCTAAAAGTTTGAACATTTTTGTTTACATTTTAGTCAATGACCGATAATGAGTTAAATTTTGTTAAGAGTGTAAAAGTCAAAGTTTATTTTTAAGTGTATCAGTATTCAATAGTTCTAACACTACTGAAAAATATTACCCTTTCATTATTGATCTACCTTTGCCAAAAATCAACTGAATATATAGGGAATCTATTCCTGGAATATCTACTCTGTTCAACTCTCTGTCCTTAGAGCGATACCATATTTTAATTACTATAATTCATAAGAAGTTCTGGAGCCAGATACTGTGAATCTTACAATGCTATTCTAAATTTAACAATTACTTTGGTTATTTAAGGTTCTTTGCATTTCTGTATCAATTTAGGATGCATTTGTCAATTTATATGGAAAAAAAGACCAGTGGAATTTTGATGGGCAATCTTTTGAATATAGGCAAATTTTGGGTGAAATGTCTGTAAAATTGAGTCTTCCAATTTAGGGTTATGCTACTTAGTATCATTCAATTTAGTAGAATACTCTTAAATTTTTCTCAGGAATGTTTTGTTATCCTTAGCATACAAAGTCAAGTGAATCTTTTGGTAAATTTAGGTATTTCTGATACAATTGCATGGAATTATTTTTAAATTATAGTTTTCAGATGTTCATTTCTTGACTATAAAAATATAATTAATCTTAATTAATTAACATTGAACACTGCTATCTTGCAGAATTCACTGTTAGTTTTAGTAACTATGAAACTTTTTAGGATAATCTAGATGACTCATGTCATCTAAAAATGAAGATTTATTTCCTTCAAATCTTATCTGACTTTTATTCTTTCTCATGCCTTGTACCACCAAAAAAAAAAATGTTAAAAGAAGTAAAAAAAGGAGTTATCATCTTAATTTTTCTTCATTGTAATAATGACGTGGTTTTTTCCTGTATAGTGTGTTGATAATAGAGTACATCGATAGCTTTTCAAATTTAAAGCCATGTTGCAGTCCTAAAATAAACCTAATTTCCTTATTTTATTTACATATACTATTAATTTTACTTGCTAAAATTTCTCCCTTTATGTTGGTGTGTGATACTGATTTACAATTTTTTTTCTTTGTCAGATTTGGTATCACTGTTATCATTACACTGATAATGACAGCCTCATAAAATGAGTTTTGAAGCAGTCAATTCTATTTTCTGGCAGAGTTTATATAGTACTGGTATTATTCTTGTATTAAATAGCTGGGCGAATTCTGCATTAAAGTCATTCAGTACTGGAGTTTTCTTCTAAAAAGTGTGCAGTACCTGTGGAGGGGGAGGTATTTAACCACAGATTATAGATCTATGTTATCTTTGCCATCTTTGTGTTTGTAGTTTGTGTCTCTCAAAGGAATTTTGTTCATTTTAACTTTGTTCATTGGTATAAAATGTTCTTGATAGTCTCTAAATATCCTTATCCTTTTAATGTCTGTAAAATCTCAAGTGATACTGCTTTTTTAATTCCAAATATTGTTAATTTGTTTTATCAGTCTTTCTAGAGAATTTTGTTGGTTTTTAAAAATAACTTTCTGTGTCACTTGTTTTCTTTTTGTTTCTGTTAGGTCTGAGAAGGGTAGAGGAAGAAGAGGGGAAAGAAGGGAAAGAAGTCCGTGGAAGGCGTGGAGTGGACGGCAGTGAAAGGAGTGGGCGGCGGTGGCTTTATTTCGGGAATGCGGGGAGAGACACCCCCCCCCCAGGCCGATGGTCTCTCTCTGGAACACACTCTCCCTTTCTCCTTCTTCTTCTTCTTTTTTTCCACGTGGAGTGGGGCCCATAAGTAGCCTCTGTCTGGGGCGGACCCCAAGGGGCATTAGGGATGTACAGGTATTTCATTGGCACACGTTTGGCGCCAGAAACAGGTTCTTAGGGATGGGGTACAGGGTTACAGGTAAATCTATAGGGGCGGGGGAGGCAGGAGCCCCCTAACTTGGCTGCGGCTTTTCCAGCTTAAAGTGTCCGGTCTGGGCCAGCAACTCTTTCAGTTTCATTCCATTTACTTATTATTTTGTTGCCTTTAGTTTTAGTTTACTGGGGTTTTCCTTAGTTTTTAAAACAGATGTTTAAATTATGGAACATTTCCTCGTTTTCTAGTACAAAGAATTTTAAATTACCTTGTGGCTAGACAATACACTTTATACAATTCAATGCTTTTATTATATTGTGTGGTGCTGTGGTTTGAACCTATGGTCTTGAACATGATATGCAAGTGGTCTATCACTGAACTATAACCCAGCCCTTTTTTCAAAACAGAGACCTTTATGGCTCAGAATATGGTCCATCTTTATGACTGTTCCACGCATACTTACCAAGTGGGTGAATTCTGCTATTGTTGGATTGAGTCACATGAACGTCAATTAGGTTAATTTGGATGGTAGTGCTAGACAGGTGTTTTATAGTGAATTTCCAGTCTACTTGTTTCATCAGTTAAAGAGAAAGATATTGAACTTTCTAAAATTGTTAACTGCAACACATGGTGGTGATTGCCTAAAATCCCAGCTACTCCAGAGGCTGAGACAGGATTACTGGAGTCCTGGAGTTCAGTTGAGCAGAACAAGTCTAACACCCACATCAGTAGTCTTAAACTGTGCTGGAGAGATCATATTGTGTTTTTTCTCACTTCATCCCATTTAGCAGAAAATGTGTTGCATTTGATTTAAACAGAGGAGAGTTATGATAGGTTCCCTCTGCTGGAATTGAATACAAGACAACTTGTACTGTGGAGGAATGAGGCAATGCCAAATACTCAGAATACAAAAGGCATTTGAATTAGAAATTTTGTGTTTTTCATAAATCTCCCACTGATAATAATACTGTAATGTGTTATCTGAGTTACACAGAAAAGCCTTCTGAGGAGTCAACTTTAGAGTGTATTTTTAAAAGATGTGCAAAACGCTAAAATGAACTACACTTTTACAAAAGTGCTAACTCGGCCATTGTGTTCTCTTAGATGGAGGCCCGCTGGCAATTTTTTTATACTTTTGCTTGGCCCAAATTCTCTCTTCAGAGCCTGTACCTTTTCCCACCTTTAATAAAACTTTGATATCGTTTTTTAAAAAATACTAACCTTGCCCTGACGTGTGCAAAGAAAGGACCACCTGACATACTGTTTCCAAACACGGGATTAACGTCTCTCTGGAAGCCACGGCGCCACAATTAATATATGAGCAAAAGGCGCGGTCACCCCAAACAAAAGACTGAAAGAGGGCCTGGCCCGCTCAAGGTTGTGACAGAAGAATGCTTTGCTTTCACTTGCGTGACAGAGTTCTCAAGGAGGTAAGAACGTAACCCAGCGATTCCAATACCTTTCTGGCCGCCGCTTCTCTGGCTAGCTTTCTTTTCCAAGCATGCCACACCTTCCATCCGAAGCACCAATTAAAGGTTTCGAAAACAAAAAACTATTTGCGTACCGCATCCTGGCCGGGGGACTCTCGCGAGAACTCAAAAGTGCCTGTTGGGACTGTGAAAACTGAACGAGACCTTCGTACGCCCGGGGCGGGGTGCGCCGTGGCCCCGCCCCCCAGCGCGCGGGTGCGCCTTGGCGGGAAGTTCGCGTGCTTCCGGCTTAGGGCCCAAGGACTCCACGGCGGTGTTTTGGTCTGTTGGACTCAAATCTAGGGGCTCGGCGTGCGCGCAGGTAAGGCGCTTATCGCGGCCAAGGGACGCCCCAGGGCCCAGGCGGTAGCCTGGTGAGTGGGACCCTCACCCTCCGCCCGAGTGCTGCGGGTGAGTCTAGTCCTTGTGCTGGGACTGGAGTTTGGCGTCCAGCGTGGCTCTCCTGCTTGTCACCCAGAGTGCCAGGGAGCTCTCACCACGTGTGAGAGCGGGGTACAGGCGGCCGGGAGGGCAGTGTTCCCCGCGGAAGCTAGCACGGTTCTGCAGAAGTTTCTTTAGCCCTGACCCAGGCTGCAGAGTCGCCCTGGAGGGCAGATTTGAGTCTCTGCCACAGCCGGTTGGGGGAGCACTTGGTCGAAGTTCCCACGGCCTTGATCGAGATGGGGGCGGGCAGGACCCTGGAAAGTTGCGGTGGAGGATTGCCCCTGTCTCCATCTCTCCCACACTCAGTTTCATTTGTGGGGGAAGGACTTGCGGGGACTTTGAGTTCCTTTGGCCTATTCCACTTCCAGCAATCCCTTTGCAGCTTCGTTGGTGTTTTCATAAAAATCATAGCGAACCACAAACATTTCAGGACATGAAGTAAATAATGAACGACTGTTCTGTTGGATCGACGTTCCTGACCGACAGTTTGGAGCTGGAGCTGAAGACAGAATGGTGTAATCCCCCTTGCTTTTCTTGTGCTTTTGATAACAGAGGAGGCAAAAACTTTTCTGGAGAATCCTACCTTGCTAGTGGAGCTCTTAAGCGGTACGTTTTAAAAAGTGAACTTTTTTCGGTCATCTGGTTATTCATGTTTCTTAGGAATTTACCATTTTTGTTTATTATTAAACTTTGGTGTTCACCAAGCCCTGTTTTGTGAATCATCATAGTATATCATGAAAGTAAACATTGTTATTAATTCTGTTGTTGATTTCCTGGTTGATGTATACATATTAAGTATTAAAGAGAAGTTATTTGGTAACTGATATTCCTTAATCTTATTACTGTCGCAGCGTTAGGGTAGGGAGTTGAACACTAATTTACCAAAGAGAAATCTGAATGGGTCTTACTTAAAATGATATTCTCTTTTAAAGGTTATTATTAATTCTCCAGAGCTTTTCAATCATTTTTAAGTAAGTCATACTTAAATTTTATCTTCCTTGTTCTTTTAATTCTGTGTATTTATACATATAGAAGTCGTAGAGTTACATCAGTCAGGTATGCATTTAATGTAGTAAAACTACTGTTCTTAAAATATTTTGTTAATACTGGGAGAGTCAAATTAAATTATTCTGGTTAATTTCATACTTGTACTTTGTTAGACAACTTAATACAGATTACCCAACTCGATTATGCAAGTCATTAAGCATAACTCAGAATGATTTTTAGCTGTTAGCTGATAGATGTCCCATCAAAGAATGAACCATTGGAGCTGAAACCTACTCCTCCGGAGTTACATTACCCTTTAGCTTTCCTTTTTGTTTTTTTAATCACCATGTAGGAATGAAATTTTAATACAATCTGGCCATAATAATTCTGAATAAGTTATCAAGGCATTTTCTGATTTTCTATACATGTGATATAGATTCAAATACTGTAGAAAAAGATACCCTGTTTTATGACACTTAACATACATTTTACGAGATTAAATCAGGATTTTCATTTCAGGCTAATTTTAAATCTTGATCCTTTACCAACTAATTTTGAAGAAGATACAGTAGAAATATTTGGCATTAATTGGGTTACAGAAACAGCCTTAGTGAATTCGTCTAGAGAGCTTTTCCATTTATTCAGGTATGTCTGTGGTTTTTTTTGACTCTGTAAATACAAATGTTCACTTTTGTAAGTTACTTTGCTGAGTGCTTTCTAATAACCGAATAGAAAAAGACCAGGGAAATTGTGGTAGTTCATTTGATTGTATGATAGTAACAATAAACAAGCAGTAATGACTGAAAAAGTAATGTTTTTTTAATGTTTCTTTTTACTGATTTTCATAGTCTTTATAGTTGATATTGGACATTAGGTTTTAAGTATTAAAGAAGACAGATAACTAAAATTTTCAACTATAATTTTGAAAGAAAGTCAAAATATTTCATTACTTAATAGCCATAGTCTTTCAGTGATCATAAGCTCAGGCTTTCAGAAATATTTGATAAAAAATATGTCATAAAAATGTGATTAAATCTCTGTGAGCAGCATTTTAGAAAATAATGAAAATTTTCCAACATCCACAAAAGTAGAAATAATAGTATTATCAAGCTCTGGAGATTTTGATTATAGTATGCATCAACATTTTACCCTATTTTTTGTCTGTCTTGTTCTTGTTCTTTTGCATTTAGTATTTTATAAACAAATAACCAGACATCGTGTCGTCTTGTCTTTAGTACTTTGAAATATATGTCATTAAAATAATGGTTTTTAGAAAGTAAAAACCATGTCATTAGCACAGTTGATAATAGTAAATAGTTCTTTATTACCATTTAAAACATGGTCCATGTTCGAGTTTAGACGATTTTGAATCAGAGTCAGTAGTTTAAGGCAGATTGCCCCAAAATACATTAAAAATATACTTTCAATACACTTAAATGAAAATGGAGAGATGTTAGGTATTCTACCACCCTTATCCCATGAAATCTTATAAAAGATATCACTTTATTTGTGCTATGTTATATTTTATTGGGAGAGCAGGCTGAATGATTCTCTAAAACGTTCTAGTTAATGAGTCTGTGCAGGATGTATGTCATAAATATGGGCCAATCTTTAAAGAGTTTGAAGGCATTTTGAATGTGGTGACAAAATTATTACAAGGAATTGGGATAGCTTTTCACGATAAGTCTAGTCTACAAATGCTGTTTCTTTTCTGAAGCACTGTATAACTTAATACAATAAAGTATTTCTGTAACTGTTAATCTGTAACATTTTATGCATCTTAAACTTTATAAAAACATAAACAGTATCTTATAGACTAAAGTGTAGTAAACTTGGAAACATCCATATAATTGTTAATATGCTTTAAAATATGCTAAAACTAACTCTCACATTTTTTTAAACTAGGCAACAACTATACAATTTGGAGTCCTTATTACAGGTCAGCTGTGATTTTGGTAAGTTTAGGGTGTATTTAATAGGAAAAAAGAATGCCACTCCCGTATAATGAATTGCACATGGCCCATGGTAGTATAATTAGGATAGCATAATTAAATTAAATTAAATTAAAATTTTGTCACATAAATGCTGGCAGGGCTGTAGGGAAAAGGGAATCTTTCTCCACTGTTGTTAGGAGTATAGACTGGTAAAACCACACTGGAAATCAGTGTAGCAATTCCTCAAAAAACTAGGATTACGGGTCCCATTTGAACTAGCTATTCCCCTTCCGAGTATCTTTCCAAAAGAGTTAAAAATGTCATAACATGGCAATATATGTGTTTATAGTGTTTACAGCAGCACAGTTTGTAGTAACTAATGCCCATCAGCAGAGGAATGGATGAAAGAGGCATGGGGTTTTAATATTATGGAGCACTACTCAACCACGAAGAAGGATAGAACGGTGGCTTTTATATGTAAATGGATGCAGCTAGAGACTGTACTTAAAAGTGAAATAAATCAGACCCATACATATAAATATTGTATTGTCACAGTAGTGTGAGAAACTGAACAAGTAAGATCCAAAACATATAATAGATATTGTGAATTGGGAAGAAAATATTCAAAAGAAAAGGTAAACTGTGCTGGGGGAAAGCAGAAAAGAAGGAAGGGAAAAAAAAATATGTATATACGAGATAGTTAAGTATATAGCTGGCTTCTCTTAGCTCATTGAAAAGAAAGGTTTGTGCTAGTACTATTTGGGCAAGATACATGCCTTTATCTTGTACTCTGAACAACTACAAAGACAACCACAACAATTATTATTGTAACTATCTTTCTAACGTTTTTAAACTTAACTATTTTCATCTTTTTTTCTTTAAAAGATAAATAAAATTTTGTTATAGCTGAGATTTATAACATTTTTTCAAATATGTGAGTCTTAACGGTAAAAACTGACTTAGGGAAGCTAAACTTCTCAAGTGAAGTAGAGGTGGGCAGTGGGATGCAGTATGTAAGTCCCAGATCTCATGCTACTTTCTTGATCTTGTATGCTTTCTGCTTTTTTGTTTGTTTCTCTATGTATTTAATGGATTATTGACATTAGGGGGATTGGTATAGTTAACGGAGTGAAGGATATTGAAAGATAGCACATCTTATTGTAGACTCCTTGTTGCTTTTCAGTAATTTTAGAACAGTGTAGAATTTAGGATAATAACTTGGGCTCCACAGTTGGAGATCTCACATTAAGCAATGTTTCCTGCCTCACTGAATTTTTGTGAGGACTAAATGCCTTAGTGGATGTTAAGTGCTTAGCCCAGTGTATGTCATTCGTAATGCCCAAAGATCACCTGGAATATACTTTTGTGCAGGCAGATTTATTAGCTTATTGGAGCAAGGGGAAAGTTCATATTACAAAGAGCAGTTGGGGTTTCTCAGTAAGAGGGAATAGAATTCATGATAGTATTTGGATTTTGCTGGCTGATTTTGATTGAGGCTTAAGGGAAATAAAGCTTTATTCTGAATTGGGTGCTGTTCAGAAAGAGACAGTCTGATGATGTCCAGGCAATTTGATTTTTACCTAGGAGAGTAAATAAAGGGAGATTCAGGAGGTTTGTGTTTAATAACCAAATGAGTCTTTATAGCTAAAAGAGGAAATTTTTTGGCCTTTTTCTTGTTTATATGATGTGTGATGCCTTATTTTTGTGTTTGGACATGATTACTTTTTCGTCTTGTTTCATCATAGTCACAAAGCACCTGTCTTATTTATAAAGGCTTAGCTGTTATCTAAGAGTATTGAGGCTTGGCTATTAGCTATAAATTGTAAGGTTTGTTTAAGTTTTGTTTTGTTTTTATAGTCTGTGACAGTAAATGTTACATATTATTGTTTCATCATCTTTTAAGTCCTTGTTTCATGTCAGATAGCATGGAAGTACTAATGAAACAGGGAGGAAAAATATACTTTAGAGCTTTCAGCTGTGTTGGGCAGACACACAAACACGACAGCATGGTAAATGACAAATTGTAGTAATAGAGACACAAACCTTTGTGGAAGTCCAGGGTTTTATCTATGGTATGTGCTTGACACTTAATGGTGCTACATCTGGTTTTTCAAGGAGGGTAAGGAATTCACCAGGCAAAAGATTTGAAGGAAGGGCATGGCATAGCAAAATGTGCAGGCATAAATATAAATATATATATATATATATATTGATGAATTCAGAAGGATGAAATCACAGTTGGTTTTTGACACATGCTACAGAACTCTGACTTTTATTTTGAAACCCCTAAGAAGTCTCTAAAAGCTTACAGTGAAAGCCAGACTAGAAGCACATGCCTGTAATCTCAGCATTCTATGATGGTGAGGCAGAAGTAAGTGCAAGCCTACCTTGGGCAACTTAGTGACTTAGCAAGACCCTATCTAAAAAAAAAAAAAAGTAAAAAAAAAAGGCTGGGGGTATAGTTCAGTGCAGTGGCTCTGGGTCCAAACCCTATTACCATGCACATGCATGCATACACACATGTGCATATAAATAGAAAAAAAAAACCTTGAGGTTATAGTGAAAAAACCAAGTATTACCTACAATGACTTGAGTAAGTTAGGCTTATGGAAGGGATTTATGAAATAGTGTTATTATCGCAGTGACTAAACAGAAACCAGTGGCCTCTGTATCTTCAGGTTCCTCATCTGCGGGGATGGAGAATGTACTCCTCCAGTATTCTATATAGGGGCCTTCAGCACCCACATAGTTTGAGAGCTGAGGAGGATCCTAGGAGCAATCCTGCACAAATAACCAAAGATGACTGTGTCTGTTAACATTATTACACTAATGTCTTGGTTATTTTTATTGCTTAAAAACATTTTTAATGGCAGGTCTGTTGGACTGGTTAAGTATATCAAGATGATCCATAAACCACCTTGTTCTTGCCATAGTTATGTTGCAGCTTTGTTAATAAATTTATGTAATTTGCCAAGGCCCTCAACCCTTCTGAAAAAGCCCTTGTGTGGGATCACTTATGCTAAGTGCATATAGTTCCCCTGCTATTTGTTCCCAGGTTGCCCTCTAGTAGGGGCAGAATAACATCAGGATAGTGTATGTTCTGTTTATCTGTCCTTGAATTTGGTTCTGGGTGTTCCTTTTTCTCTTGGGTATTGCATTTGTGTGGGTAGCAGCTAAATAATGCATTTGAATTTTTTTTTATTTTTGTCCTTATGTTAATTTTTATCTAAAATATATGGAGTATTTGTCTTAATTTCTCTTTGTAGCTTAGCTGACTACTGGTTCTTTATTGCAGTCATTTTTAGGTCTATTTGTATTCATTGTTTTTTCCTCTAGTTCTGTAATGTAATCTGCTATTTCTTTTACTAGTAATGTTTTATTGGATGATGTGTGTTACAGATTTTATGTTGCCAATCCTCCACAAAGCTACAAACCCAGACATTTCTATTTTTTGAGACTAGATCTTGCTAAATTGTCCAAATTGAACATGAACTTGCAGTCTGCTCTCAGCTTCCCAGAGTGCTGGAATTATAGTTCTGTCACAACTGCCACTGGTTCTTATGAGACCTTGGTTTATACTTCTGCTAGTGCTTTCTTTTTTTGAGACAGGCTTTCACTGTGTAGTTCAGGCTGGCTTTGAGTTCACTGTGTAACCAACGCTGGTTTTGAACTCACAGTGGTCCTTTTGCCTTAGTTCTGAGTGCTGGGATTGCAGGCATGCACCACCATGCCTTTAGTTTAATGCTAATATATCCTATTAAATTAGCCTGGCATGGCTTTTCAGGATTCTTGTGGTGTGTAGTGTATTACAAAATTTTTTCATTTTGCCTGGTGGAAACTTGAACTATTCCTTGGCTTGTGTAAGCTTTATAGGGAATTGTTTTCTTATGTTTTGCTGAATTTTAAGTGATTTTTCTCATTTTTGAACAAGTCAGTACTCAGTCAAAGACTCAAGGGAGACATTCTCCATATTTGCAAGGGCTCTTTGCTATATATGTAGTTTCTTTCCCCCTTGATACATTTGCACTGTAAGTTTACATTTTTCCTAAACTGGTATGTCTCCTCAAATGATTGAGTTGAACACTGATCTCTGTTTCTTGCACTAGTTTTTAGAAGGGAAATTGATAGAACTATAGGGGTAGCCTCTCTGGGGTAACAGTTTTACTTTGTGTCCAAGTCCTCAAAACACAATTTATATTGTTTTTCGGGTTTTTAAGTTTAAGATGCAAGATGTATAAATCCCATCCTTTTATTCCACCTTGCCAGAAGTGCTCAGCAGTAGGTCTAGTGAATACTTCTTTCAGCTGACAATTTTGAAGGACAATTTTATAGCTCAAATTAGCCCAAATACCTGAGATTACATAATTTCTAAAGAAGTGAGGCTTATTAAGGTATTATGTTCTAGAGACTGGGGAATTCATACTCACGCAGCTACATTTGGTTAGGGCCTCATGCTGCATTATAGCATCATGGGCATATGTAAAGAAGAAAAAAACATGAGAACTGGCTTCATAGCAGCTCATGGTCCTGGTAACTAAACCAGTCTTCTGATAGCAAGAACTTAATTTGCAGCATGGTTTTAAACCCTTTTACTGATTTAATCACTCATAAAGTCCCTTACCTATCACCACCCCGTTGATAGTCACGTTTGAGTCTTGGAAGGGACAAAACATATTTAAACCATAGAAGGAATCATCATGACATTTTACTAATGAAATTAGATACGTTTTATTATGCAGCTATTTGAACAATAACTTTGTATTTCTGTTGGTTATACCAAAGTAATAGCTATGTTTTTCATTTGAATTCAGACTTAGAAATAAGTTTCATTGTATGTTTAATATGGGAGAGAATTTCTTGCCTGTAATTTTCTTGGTTTCTCTGCTTTTGTTTAGTGATTGACACTTACAGTGGTTTTCAGCATTTTAAACATCATAGACATATAGATAATTCTTGATGTAAATATTAAAGTAAGTAAGGGAAAGGTGGCATGGGGTAAGACTGGTAGAAAACCAAGAAATAATCAAAGATCATTTGAAGCTTTGTAAGTAATTAGTTTGAATTTTATTCTAAATACAGTCACCTTTTTGGCCTTTGACTTGGGAGCAACAGGGAGTTGATATATATGTTAAGCAGATTCTGTACTTAAATGATAGAGAGGCAAAGGAGTATGTGACAAAATTCCTTAGGTGTCCTGTAACAATGAATAAGCAAAAAGATGATTGTAGGAAAAGTACATAATACCAAAATACATTTGTTTATCAATATAATAGGACTCTGATTGACTAGATATTAGGTTAAAAGAAAAGGAAGACTGAAGAACATTATAGACCACTGATGATGTATATCATTTGATGAAGGAGAGAGAATGTAGACAGCGGGAGCTTTTGAAGCAATCAGTGGGTGAACATTCTGTCAGATAGTGCTGCCTAAATAGTAGTATTAGGCAGTTTGGCATGTAAGGTCGGAAGTACAAAGCAAAGGTATGGGTACAGATAAAGCACTGGGAGTTGATGTCATTAATCAGTAAAGGAACTGATGAGCTATCATACGTGTAGACAGAAGTGTACATAGAGGAACAAACTGCACTGAAGCCCGAGGAGATCTTATGTTAATAGTTTGCTTGCCTGTATGCAAGCCTCTGGGTTCATCAGCATCAAAAATAAATAAATAAATAAATAAAAGTTTAAGATATTGAGGAGGAAGAGCCAGTACAAAGAGGTAGGAGACAGGATACAAATTTTAAAAGAATAGCGTGTGGTGGCTACCGTGGAACTAGTTATAGCCAGTGCTACTTTCAAGGCGAGTTCCTAGAGGCTAGGTACCTGCTAGACTGGGTAATAGCATTGGTGACTATACTAAGGATCAGTTTTGAGGAGTGGTGGGGTACAGTATTACATAGGAATCAATAAAAAAAACTCATAAGGTAGAGAATTACTGCTGATCTGGCCTACACAATTTTTGTTTACTATCTAGTGATAATTACTTAAACTATGATTAACATTGTCTATTTTGATTTCAGGGAAAATATCAACCCTACACTACAAAGCAAACAATATTAGACAGCAGTGTATAATATTTCTCCATTATATTAAAGTTTTCATCTTCAGGTAGGATAACAGGAGTATTTTGAGTATTGTATGAGTTTCTATGGGTGTATTTATCCAGACTATGGTTGTTTATTGTATCTAATCACTTTTTAGATACCTGAAAGTACAGGATGCTGAGAGTCACATTCCTGTCCATCCCTATAAGACTTTGGAGGCTCAACTTCCCTCAGTGTTGGTTGATGAACTTCATGGATTACTTTTGTATATTGGACATCTATATGAACTTTCCAGTACCAGTCCAGGAGCATTTGTAAATCAAAACCAAAATAAGGTCTGACTGCTTCATTTAGTTTTTAAATTACCAGCTCTTTTTCCTCACAAGGAATATTTGTTCAAAACTGAGAAAAATAAGTCAGGAGTGGTACTTTGGTACCAGACACTGCCTGAGTTGAAATTGTGGCCATTCTTTATTAATTTTCTATTTTTAAGCAAATAAAATGTCTCCTGCTTCAGTCTCCCAATGTGTACACTTTGTATAACTTCATAAAGTATTGGAAGAATTAATATCTAAAGAATTAAAACAGTGCATCTATATCAGTTACTTTGTGTTTATCACAGTTTTAAATGTTTAAGAGCTTCAAAGCAATAAAATGACTTATCTTCTAGAAGTTGTATCATCTTCCTTATTGTAAAGATTTGGACAAATCATCATTTATATATTATAGTAAGATTCAAGAAGATCAACTTATTTAAAATACTTCTAAAACTATATCACAATTTATATTTTTACTTTTGGGACCTTTTGGATATTGTTAGTGTGGCTAAGCTTATTGACAAGTAACAAGTCCTTCATATGAAAAATGGGTACACGTGAATAACAAATTAAGATGATTCACAATCAGATTTCCTGAACTATTAACCCCCTATTAATCCCCTCTGTTATATTTGACTTTAGCCATTTAAATAATACATTTTTGAACATGTGTTTAACAACATGTAAGGTATGATTGTTTATTATAATTTCTGTGAAAGTTAACCAAAAGAAAAAAAACCAGTTCTCATGGCTTTTATGTATATCTGATGAGGCAAGTTCCTTTTCACATTTTCCTTAGTGTTTTAATGGAACAGTTGTCACTGTATTTGTTTTATGGTGATACTCAATGTTGACTAAAGGAAGGTTATTGGTAGTCTAGTATAGCACAGCAGTTAAAAGCTCTGACTTTTCAGTTAGATAGATTTGAGTCCCAACACATAAATTAAGCAATGCAGTTCACCTCTTTTAGTTTGCATGTATTAAAGCATGTGTACATGATAGTTTATAGACTAACATGTCTATGTGATAGACTATTCCATTTTAAAAATATTTTTAGCAGTTCCTGGAAGCCTTTTACATTAAAAACTTTTGGCAGTTAAATTCTAAAACAATCATGAAAAAAAGTGTTTTTTTATCTTCAGTGAAAAAAATCCTAATGAACAAGCCAAGATCTTCTCTGGGCTTTTTAATAGTGGTAAGTGAAATGATTCTTTATCCTTGTTTTTGTGGAAGAGTTTTGTGATATGCTAAGAAGATGTAGGTCAAATGGTTCTTTATCCTCATGTTTTTGGGAGAATTTTGTGATATGTTAAAACATACTTACTAAAATATTATGAATTCTGAATCATAGTTGAAAATTTTGTTCACAGCTTTTCCCACCATCCTGGCATTTACTACATCTGCATTTAGATATCCATTGGCTGATACTAGAAATTCTTCATGTGCTGGGAGAAAAATTGAGTAAGTTTATGGATTTCTCATTTTGTCCTTTTTTAAAAATCTAATTACTTTTTAAAATTACACAAATCATAAATACTTCTGATTTTTTTTAAAAATTAAGACTGAATTAATAAATTTTACTCCATGTTTTCAGGAATAGCTTGCTCTATTTGTTTTATTATCTCTTAGTACATATGTATAGATACTTAGTTGGAGTTTTATTTTTCTTTCTAACTAAATGCTGTACCATTTAGTGTGATGTTTCAGTTTTTAAAGCTGTTTTCATATTAGTATATGTTGCTCTAGTTTATTCATTTAAGAGCTGCACTTTATGAATCTGGAAAAGTTCATTTCGCCACATGTATTTAATGAAGATTTCCTTTTTTTACTATTACAAATAATGTTTTTGCCGGGCATGGTGGCTCATTATGTTTTTAAAATTATTGTTTATGTTTTTAAAATTATTATTTTTAAGTGGGATTTTATGCTGTGCCTAGCAATCCTTTATTTCATGTGTTGCTTTTGTACTTTTTTTGGTGTTTGTTTTTTGTCTTTCTGAGACAGGGTCTCACTGTGTGGTTCAGGCTGGCCTTGAGCTCACCTTGTAACTCAGACAGCCTCCAACTCACAAGGATCCTTCTCTCAGCCTCCAAGTGCTGGGATTACCAGCATGTGCCACACACCCGGCTGCCTTTGTATGTCTTTACCTTGCTGTTTGGCATCTTTATGTTCCTTTATCAAACTGCTTAGGTTGTGAAAACATGTATTACCTTAAGACCTGCTTTTCAGTTTCTTAATAAATTTTAGTATATGTGGAGCCGAAACAAGCTTTCTTAACAAACTTTAAAAGTGCACACATACATATATGTGTGTAAATTTATATACTCTTAAATATGCAAAGATATATATAGATTTATAATTTGCTCTCATTGTGACTACTTTTTATGTAGTATTTTCTAAAAACAATACTTAAGAGAAGATTTAACTGATACAGGTACAAATTTTGCTTATTACCTTTGTTTAGAACATTTACCTGTAGTTAGTTTATCAAAAGAATAATGGTTTAAAGGTTTTGTTGGTTAGAATTGTAGGTGAAAATTTCCTAGTATTTTCTGTCTTATTTTGAAGTGCTTTAACTATTGATTTTCAAAGATACTTACTAGTGAAAATTAAACAGAACTTCAAGATAAGTTTATTGGATTGGAAATAAGAGATTGGAAGTTTTCGCATTTCAGGGCTCATATAAATTGATTGCTCAAATTCAACTTCTATTTGTAAAAATATTTTTTAAACTGTATATTTCACTTTTATCACAATTAAAGGTCGGCATTCATTTTTCCCTTCTTCTGAATTTAAGTAAAATGTCATTTATTTTTAAGTAGAATGCATTTCATTACATTTTCAGAACAAGCTGTATATGGTCATCAGTTTATCAGTCTGGCAGGTGACAGTTTATCCAATGTCAGCCTATTTGAAGAACACTGTGAAAATCTTTTATGTGATTTAATAAGCCTGTCGCTTAAGAGGTATGACAAGGTAATGCTTTAAAAGTTACTTTTGTTTTTGAAACTCAGTGAGTTCTTATTTTATATGATTTAATCTTAAGAATTTAAGATGTTTTAGTTGTTAGTTCTTTTAATTTTCTATTAGTTGCTGTTATCAGAAAACAAACAATTTTGGCTTAAACATTTACAACAAGCTAGAATTAAATTTACTTTTTAAGTAGTACACAGAAGCAAAAATTATAAATATTTTAAGGTGTAAAAGTTGATGTTTCAACACATGTGTATATTGTGTAGCATTGTAATGAGACTATGCCTGTCTGTTTCTCAAATATTTATCATTTGTTTATGGTGAAAACTTTCAAATTTTTTTCTAGGCTAAGTTTTTGAAATGTAGAGTAAATTATTATTGTATATAGGCACCCCATCTGTGCAGTACCACCCACAACTTCTTACTTGTATCCACTGATTAACGTCTCCCCGTCTCACTCTTCATCCTTTCTCCCCAGCCTCCAGTAACCACTCCAATAACTGTTAGCATCCATGAGAGCAGTTGTTTTAGATGTAACACAGAGAGAGTGTTCAGTATTGCTCTTCTGTGTTTGGCATTTTTGACTTAACATAATGATCCCCAGTTCTATCCATATCATCACTAAGGACAAAGTTGTATTCTTTTTCAAGGTTGAATAAGATTTATTGAGTACATATATCACTCATTGATTCGTGGACACTTAGGTTGTATATCTTGACCACTGTGAATAGTCCACAGTGGAAGTGAAGTGCAGATGTCTCTGCAACATACTGTTTTCATTTCCTTTGTTTATATACCCAGTAGTGGGATTGCTGGATCATATGGTAGCTTAATTTTTTATGAATTCCCATACTGATTTCAATAATAGCTGTAATAATATTCATTTCCACTAACAGGATATAAGTGTTCCCTTTTCTCTGCATTCCTGCATCTTTTGTTAGCACCTTTTGTCTTTACTCTTTTTTAGTGCTGAGAATCAAATTCAGGACCTCACGTGACTTGGCAGTACCCTGTCACTCAGCTACATCCCTAGCCCTCTTTAGTCTTTTTGATAATAGCCAATATTACTGGAGTGAGGTGATAGGTGTATCTCACTGTAGTTTCAATTTACATTTCCCTGATGAGTAATGATATTGAATACTTTTCATATTCCATTTGACGATTTGTATATCTTTTTTTGGAAAATAGGTCTGTTGCCAGTTTTTAAATTGGATTATATTTGAGCATTTTTGAGGGAGTTTCTTTCTTCCTTTCCAGTTCTTTTATCAGTACGTATTTATAGTATATCCTGATTGTACTCCTTTTGAGAAGCTTGTGCATGTACAGAACACCTTTTTCATCCCCTTCACTCTCCCCTCCTTCTATCTCTTGGTCTCCCTCTCTGTTTAATATTTTTTCTTTTTCATTTTTTCTTTTCTACACAGGGTCTCACTAAGCAGTTCAGACTGGCCTTGAACTAGCAGTGTTCCTCCTGCTTCAGCCTGCCAAGAGCACCATCACACCTGGCTGTCTCCTTTTCTTTTGCAAAAAGATCTATCTCCCATTTTCCTACTATATTTGTTCTTTATATTTTGGATTTCTCATGAGAGAAATCTTGCCATATTTAAACTTGTATCTGATTTATTTTATTAATGCTATGGTCTTTTTTTATTTAAAGAAAAACATAAAAAGGGTAGAAACAATACAGAATTTCAGAAAAATAAATCACCAGTCGATAAGTTTCATACTGTTATATTAGAAATTGTTGCTTGAGTTACAAAATTAAAGCATACAAAGTGATAGTCAAACAATGACACTACAAACAGATCTGCTCAACGATCCAACAAGGACTTAGTAGTGTGATTAGCAGTCCTACACACTTGTTTTTTATCTTAAAGAGGGTAAGATTAAACATAGCAAAACAGAACAAAATAGTTTATAAGGAAACAATTTAAAGAAACGTAGATTTCAAAGCAAGTCCACTGAAGATCTTCACTGTCTATCTTATTGTCTCTAGTTTTCTTCGAAATAGTGGTCCCCAGCTTCACACACATTGAATATATACTGGACATTATAGAACTAATCAGATCATTACAGGATGATGAAGGCTTTTGAGGTCTTCAAGACCTGATTTTGGGGAAATCAATAATGTCTACCATAATGTTTCTCAGTCTCTTTGTAGTAGCTGTCTTTATCTTTACATATGCTGAAACTGAACATAAGAGACTAGACTAATATCACTCTGAACAGTGAATGATAGTATTGCTAGATTTCATATCATAACACTACAGAATTAGCACTGAGTTTCTTAGTGTCTCTTCTCCTTAAGAGCATCCGTTCATTACATCGTGTGTTATATAATCTGTTCCCCTAAATAGTTTAGAAATTCTTCCCATGTGTGACTCTCTACATGTATATCTGTCCTTTCTGTATCATATGGAAAAACAGATCAAAACAAGATACAAAATACCTAGAAAAACATGAAAAAGACATATAGGCCCACAATATTAGGTGATCTACAGTAGTTACTACACTTTCTCTTGTTATTTTCAATAGAATTGTCCACATCATCAGGCATAATATAATTGAACATAACATTACATAGCTATTTTATTAAAAACACAACTTTGAAGATGTTGTAGGACTTGAAAGCAGTTAATAATCAAAACCAGAATGGATATCTTTTACATCTTATCATCTTCAGAGTAATTGTCTCCACTCCCAGGCTTAATACTATCAAGGATACCATATTCGAATGAAATCAGTCAAGGCTAAAAGCGGTCTAACGAACCAGCTTCAAATAAGATCAGTCATAGTAAGACAATGTAAGTAATACACGGTTTCAGTTTAAGTAATAGGAAATTAAGGATAGTTACCATGGTATAACCTGCTATTTTTGGGTTAGCTGTCTGTGCCCAAATCTAATATGGGTAGACAGATCAGAACAAAATATAATCAAACTAAACAGCGATAAGACAGTGACTTTTAAATACTGTTATACTATTAATAATGTCTTCTGCCTTCCTTTTTTTTTTTTTTTTAATACAATTCCTTCCCTTTCCCTTTCTCAGGGTGCTTTGTATATTTTGGTTCCCACTAGCTCTTTTAGTTTTTAGATTAGAGGACCAACCTGTTATCTATCTGCGTGTTGCTAACCCTTTTTACCCCTGAACTTGATCTTGAGCTGCACTTCTTTACTTACTAAAGCCACAAGGTTTTCCTTCCTTCCAGTGTGTAGTTCTACACTGCCCAAAATTGTCATAGCTTTCCAGTCTGTCTGCGGCTGCTGGACGAGTTGTCCCTATTTCTTTCTTGTTTACTGTCACATATAGCATTGTTTTCTCATTTTTGGCTCTCAGTTTATTAACCTTCTTTCAGGTTGAATTTATTTCCTATTCAGAGCATCTCGATGGATCCTGCCTCCTAGTCTACTCTGCCTGTGTTTCTTTTTTTGTTAGTGTATCAAGGCTATCTATATTAAAATTATAGCTTGCCATCTCTGCCTCATTTCTGCTATTTTATTCTTGTCATTATTTTCCCACTTTACTCCTTCATTCCACTGTCTGCCCCATTCACTGAGGCCTTTCTGTCACTGTTGCTGGAATCCTGGTATTTTTTTCTCTCTCTGGAATGTCCTTCAGTGTTTTTTGTAGGGTTGGGTTGGTGGCCATGAACTCCCACAGTTCCTCCTTGTCTTGGAAATATCTTACTTCTCCATTAATTTTTAGAGAGAGTTTTCTGGGTACATCAGTCTTGGTTGGAGGTTATTTTCTTTCAGGGTTTGGACTATTTCCCCCCAGGTTCTTCTTGATTTGCGAGTTTGTGTTGATAAGTCTGTTGTTATTTTGATCATTTTTCCTTGTAGGAATCTGCTTCTTTTCTCTGGCTGCTTTTAATATTCTATTCTTGTGGTAGATTTCTAGAATCTTGATTATTATCTGTTTGGGTGTAGATCTGTTTTGGTTGTAGGTGACTGGAGTTCTGTATGTCTCATTTATCTGGATATCATTTCTTTTTCCTATGCTTGGGAAGTTTTCCTTAATTACATCTGTGAATATTCTTTGTAGTTCATTTGTAGTTACTCCTGCTTCTTCGCTCACATTTTTTATTCTTAAATTATAAATCCTCTTGTCATCTTCTAGCTTTTGTATTATTTGTTTCTGGTTCCTTGTTACTTTTAAGAGATCTTTTGTTTCCCAATCACACACCATAAATCTCTCCTCAAGTTTCAAAAGGCTAACTTTAGTTTCTGTCAAGGCATTTTGCCAGCTGTCAGTGGAATTTTTAGTTTTCTGGTAATCTCTTTGGATCTGTTTCATGTATTCTAGATTTTGTTTATATTCTTCATGAAAGGTTTCTCTTCCTTTTCTGAGTTCCTCCTTTATTCCACCTGTATTCTCTTGGGAGGGGCTTATCATTTCTTTAATCAATCTTTTTATATCTTGCCTCACTTGGATCAGAAGTACAATTTTAAATTCATCTATAAGGTTATGAAGATATTTGATCATGTCCGCTGAAGCTGTATCTAACCTTGCATGATTCCTGCACTATTTCTCTACTGTATTTATCTCTCCTGAGCTTATTTTTCCAGGGTCAGTGGCTGGAGGGTTTTTTTTTTTTTTAATTTCTATCCCTTGTCATGTTTCTGGTTTCCTTCAGATTTGTGTGTCCTGGGGGTCTCTGGCCTTCTCTGTATTGCTTAGGGTCTTTCCCAAGAGTGCTGACTGGGGTTTTGCTGCCCTCCCCAAATTGCTGTTATCTGAGATACTTTAAACTCCCTCCAAGGGGCTTGGGATGGTGTTGGGACACTCACCCCTGGCTGCCCAGTTCAGAGTTCAGGGTGCATGCAGGCAGGCCCAGTTCCCCGAAGCTGGTTGATCACGGCAGAAAACCAGAAAGTTCTGGTTCAATATTTTTAATTATTGTCCGAAGAGGTGTTTTTAGAAGCAGCTTCTCTGGGCCCTGTTCGTGGCAGCGGCTCTGTGGGTCTCTGGTCGCATGGGCCTGGCGGCAGTGAAGACATA